TATCTTGTTCTGACTTGACTTGGCGTGCGGTATCCAGCCCCAGGCTGCTTCCGGAGTGAAGGTTTAGCTTTCCGATCCTGTGCTTGTTTATTTCTGCACACTTGTTCCCAGTGGTTCCACTGGTTACACTTTCTACACCTTGTACCTTGAGCTGGGCACTTTTTTTTCATGGCTGAGACCACATTTTCCACATCTGAGGTTGGAATTCTGTCTGATAGCATCTACGTTAGTGTCATGAGAACGAGCGGGTGCTGACGCACCTTGTTGGTCAAGGGATTTCATATCATTTACCGTAGCTTCCCTTGTCCGGGCAATGTCCATGGCTTTGTCAAGCTTTAACTTGTCATCTTTTCCTAAGAGGACTTCTTGTATCTTTCTTTCGCGAGTACCAATAATTAATTGCTCAATTAACCGCTCCTCTAGTTCGGCGTCACTGAATCGGCATTTCTGGGCTTGTATTTTGCACCTGGCCATGAACGAATCTACACTTTCATCATCAGCTTGTTTGAAGCCTTGTAGTTGGTATCTTGCAATCCGAAAATTTGACTTAGGTTCCAGATATGTTGCAAACTTGTCAAAAATTGCGTCAGGTTTCGCTTTCTCATCAGCGGTCAAGTCAAAAGAGTTAAAGATTTTCCGGCCCTCTTCGCCGATCCAGAGCAGAATATAGGTTGCCTTGACTTTGTCCTCTTTCGCGTTCAAAGGCCCATCAAAGACTAGCTGGCAATATTGTTTGAAGCTTTTAAATGCCATGGGTAAGTCAGAGTCATTCCATTCCATCTGAGGCGGCTTAATTCCCGAAAGCTCGCCCATGTTTGTGAGAAAACTGTGTCGGCCGGTAGAATTGCGATGATACTCGGCTGCACGCTACGAATGGTTGACTTAGTAATCCTGGTTCATCGGGTTCACCTCAATGTTTTATGAGTCAAAACGTCACTCGGCGTGTAGAATCATCCCACCGCTGCCACCATGTTAAGGTATCCTGGATAAACTATGATATGTGACACGAGAGAACGGATAGATGAACACAACCTTTTAATACACACAAGTAGCAAGATGGCGGGCCCAAAGAGACACCAAACTCGGGCCCAGTCCCTGACATAAAGCATACTATAACACATCCCGGGGGGGGGGGGGCTACTCAACAACGCTTAATGCGAGGAAGCTCCTTTTTACATGCCATTTTTAGAAGAAAAGGTAACCTCTTTCGCATACCTTGTTTCGAACTTTAGACCTCTTTTGGATATGAACAAACGTCAAATCAAATTGAGAATGTTTTCTCCACTTTTTCACAGCCATAAAATGCATCTGTTAGCCCTGTTGGGCGTTTTTACAGACCAAAATGTTAGATTTCCCTACCCTTTTAAATAATTCAAGTGGTGAGATACATACCTTTTCATATACCTGAAGGCTGATAAAGGTACCCCTTTCGGGCGGAGCCTTCCCGTGTAGGTCATCATAGGGAGCACCCCCAATGACTTTATCGCGTAGCCGGCCCCAGGAATTAGGGAGCTTAAACAACAACGGCGGCGACGGCTCACAAACTCGCGCTTCCTCAAACTTGATCGCGTTCATACCATGTCCGTTAATTCGTCAAATGTTGGCAAATTTTTTCGGAGTTGAGATCTAAAGGACTGTATCAAAGTTCAAGAAAAGAAAAAGGTAGTCGTTGTCTTGTGCTCCCGTCCTCGACAAAACTTAAAATTAGGCACTTTCAAGTTGTAGTCGTGAATGACAGCTAAAAAATGTACAAAAAAAAACCTGATATGAGCAAAGTTGTTGTTTTGCTGATATAAAACCTATTGCTTTTTTGCCGTTTCCGTTGCCATCGCCGTCGTCGTTGCTTATTCATCCTTTATATAATCCCTTTCTCGTTATCATATTTATTAACAGAAACAGCTTTCGCGGAATATTTTTCACTCCTTCTTTGTAATATCCAACCAGAGCAGAGCTAAGATCATACGTCTTGGTACCAGTGCATTCTGTGTGTTTGTACATTGCAGCGGTGGGGGAGGGGGAGGGGGGACACAGGAAAAAACAGAGATACCCCAATCATTCCGACAGCGGGCGTAGAGTGTCATGGGAATGATACAACCCGGTAAAAGGCAGGCAAAGCTCACACAACTTCCAAAGACTTCTTCGTATGCTGTCTCAAAGGAACGGTTAGTAGGGAGAGTAATACACTGGTAATCATCTCCTGGCGAAACCACCTTGTTCATGACACATTTTAAACCGCCGTCCGGTTACCGGGCCCCGGGTTAGCTTCTGCCGCATTCAAACCCCATCAGAACGCAGAGTCAGGGCTTCAGGTTTTAGATATAAGCAGGGGAGATATAAGTGAGGAAAATTTTCTGCCCTGATTCTGTTATATCTTCAAATGGTAAGAAATTCTATGCTTCTCGAATATGGATGAACGCCACGTAGCCTGTCGTTAACCCTAATCACCATATAGTCAGTGCTTAACGACTATAGTCAAATCGCTCAATCCTCTATAAGGTCTTACTTTGTTTCAGACATGGGTGGAATCAAATGTTTGTCAAGTTCGGATACAAGCAGGTTTTTCGGTTTTAATTAACAGGTACTTGTGATGTTCACAGACGGAAAACAAGACAAGGGAGGGTTACGCAGCAGCGAACCGTTGGAACTACGCAATAAAGGAATAGAAATTATAACGGTGGGCATTGAAAAGGCAGACAAAATTGAGCTGGTAATGATTGCGAGCGGGAAGTTCAAAAACGTGCATTGGCTGAACTCTCCAGACAGGATCAAAAGCGTCGCTTCAGAAATAGTTCAGAGTGTATGCAGTGAGGCCTAAGTTTTGAACAGGAGTCTCTAGAACTTATAGGCATTATATCAGGGCCACCCAACGAATGTTGTCTGTAAAATATATGTTCGGGGAAGTAAATATCGCATAGAACTTTCTGTTGCCTGAGGACGGCTATCTAATAAATTACCTACGATTTTTTAATTTCTCACATAGAAAAAGGAAACCTAAAATTTTCAGATTTAAAAATATGATGGAGAGAGGAATGATAAGAAAATTAAATTGCTGCTTTGGATTCGTAAAACGTTGAATTTCATCAGTAAAATTTTCGTTGGATAACCCCGATGCAAATTTTTATTTTGATATAAAAGAGTTTTCAATGTATTTAGCTAATCCTCCACTATTACTATTAAAGTTTTCTGAGACTATTTTAAGTCCTCCACAAAGACTGTGGAAGAGTTCCCAGCCAGCAAACTTACAACCTGCAACCTGACTTACTGGGAAGTTTCATAGGGCAAATTTTGATAATTAGGTGCTTTCAGGTTGTTAGTCCCAGTTCCTTCCAGGGAAACAACGGCAAAAATTTGCCTGAAGAACAGATATTTTGCAGCAAACGTGCGTGATGCACGTTCAGAGTTGTTGTTTTGCTAATTAAACCTACTGCTTTTTGCCGTTCTCGTTGCCTTCATCTTAGGCTTTTTAAAAGCTCTCTAATGACTTTAGCAAAGAACTGGCCTAAAACAGGAGTATCGTCATGATCTGACGTGGTCCCTCAAACGAGGCAACTGAATTTCACTGGCTAGGTTGGCTAGGGGACCTCACTACTATTCTGGTCATTTTTAAGGATTTCAAACTGCAACAATCGTGTTCTTTTATTGTTGATATATGATCTGTTAAACAATTCGTCGCCATGATTTGGAAGGTACTTAAATATATATTTATCAGAATGCGGTGAGCTAAACGTGCGTTAGGAAAAAGCAGCCATAATTCCTTGGTCATTCCTATTGAAAAGATACAGTTTTTTGCCTAAAATCTTCGCTGCTGAACAACTGATTCAGTTTTCGAGAGGTGTTAAAAGATCAAACTGTATTACGTTCTCTGTATTGGCTTTCATAGGTGTACTTGTGATCTTGAACCCTCTCATTGCGGACGAGTAGAGTATGCCAGAATAACAATTAATTAAGGCAATAAACTAACGGACAAGGGGAAGCACCAGATTATAATGTCATCTTTCCAATGCGATTTTCAGTTTCCCTTTGTATTTCCTCTCATTATTCTGACCTTTCCCGGCCATGTTTATGAACTGATACCCCTGATTCTAAACTTCCTGCATGTTATTGTTTTTATAAGTACAGTGCGCGGGCAAGTGCAGTTTTGCCCGGGTCTCTAAAAGAAAGCTTAAGTAATAAACATGTCGTTTTGATTTACTGAGGGGAAAGTAAGCTGTTCAATAAAACAGCAAAAAGACTGAAATTACCTTGTTATGGCTAGGAAGGATGCTACGTGCCTATATAATTCTTAATTTCATTCATGTAACCCTCTATCGTTAAAATTAGCTCATTAAGTCATTTTCCAACTCGCTTTTCAGTTCCCTTTCTGCTTCCTTCCCTTAGTATATTCGCCGGCCATGTTGATAGCTGAAACGCCTTTTACAGATGAATTTAAATTTCCAGTTTGTGATCGTTTCTTTTAGTACAGACGCGGACAAGTGCAGCTTTGCCCGGGTCTTTTTCCGGTCCTCCGGGTTTTTTTTCTACTGTTTCTTTTTTTTTTTTTGGCATTAGAATTTTCAATAATTGTCTGTTACCTTGCTTCACCTTTTTATTTCTTTTTGAAACATTTCCCACTTACTATGGCCTTTTAGGGAGGCAAAGCGTTACTAAATTCAACCACTAAATCTGTCACGCCCCTTGGTTAAATCGGAAATAGGTTCTCAAAACAATGCTAGTTCCTGTCTCTGTATTATAACCTGGTTTTTTTTTTTTACCTTTTACGGCTTGCATTAACTTACTCTAGGGATAAAAAGACCTTGCAATTTCGCTGGGATTTGATTTCTTTATTGAAATATCAATAAAACGGAAGAGTTTACCAACGCAATTAAAACTCAACGTACTTTGGCAATTGCATTACTTTTAATATAGAGTATTTTATACCGGGTAGTACCCTTCACTGAGCAAACAGGAAGTCATTTGTGATCAATATACACTCTAGCTGTGACGTATTGTTATGACAGTATTTAAACAGGCTTAAGACTCGTGAGTTACTTAGTCAAACAGCTCAGCGTAATTCAGTGCATCTTTTGCTCCTTGGAAAAACAAGAAGATGAAGTTACTTCTACTCGTTTGCCTCTATATTGGATTGGGCTGCTCAACACGGCGGGTATGTTCGTGACGACCATATGTTTTTTTAAGACAAGGTTTTCATGTTAAGTAAGAGTAAGACGCTTCGATCCACTCGCACCGACTGTTAATGATGTAATGATACCTCGTATTTTTTTCTTACTTTCGAAATCCATCTTCGGCAAGATGCCATACCTTTCTCCCCCTATGAATTGTTCCGAGTCTTGTTTACCGAACTGATGAGCATAATTGTGGAATCTTTTGCCTAAAAATTACCTCACTCACTCATCCGATAAAATCCAACGGTCGTCATCGGAGTGTAATCCGGGAGTGAGTTTTGTATACAAACCATTTTCAGGTATTCAAGTTTTGTTTTTGTTTTTCCTGCTCCAGCACAAGCTAAAAGAGAAAAAGTTTTTGAAACTGAAAAACTTTCGAGACTGCACGTTTTAACAGTTTTAACGAACGACTCGGAATACACAATGAAGCGTGACTTCCATTCATCCGTATCCATCCATAACTCTGTTATAACAAATGACCGTGACAACTATAGCTTGAATGATTTGATCAAAACACTTCTATGGAATTACGATTATTTTCTTTTGTTTCATGCATCCAAAGCCCTCCTCTTGAAATGAAAAATGCGGCGTATCATTAGGGGTGTCCAACGACGCTGTCCACCTGAATACATTGAAAACACTTCTTAGGCTATCTACAGTACTTTTAGATCATTGGAAGTGGATTCTAAGCGGTGCTATAAAAGTTAGGGCAACTTGAGTCCTTTCGAAATACAAGGGATTCAGTATTGTTTTCCCGAAAATTTCAGATGCAATTGAAAGCGTGACGAAGTTTATTGTTTTTCCGACTCCTCTCTCCATTCAAATTTCCAATACGAACAGTTTAGGTTTCGTTTGTTTCAAAATAGAGCTGAACGTGGGGAGTGAAATATCGAAAATTAATCTTCAGAAAATAGTACGGAATTTGTTACGTGAGCTTCGAAAATCGTACATGACGGAACGGTCCTCTAGAAATCTTTCGCCGTCCTCAAGCGGTGGAAAATGCTCACAGATATTTTACAGAAAACATTCGTTGAGTGCCCCTGTATCATGTTCCGTTTATTTAGTGCTTCACAATTCCACTCAATAACTTTCTCAACATGGAATTTCCTTCCCTTTCAGCTTCTTATATTTTGTTGTAAACGCTTGCGTTGATAATGGTTTCAGCCAAAAAAGGATATCCTCTCTTGGTTTAATGAAGGGCATTAGGATCCTTTTTCTTTTCCCCCTTTTTTCTGAGAAAACATAATTGAAATTGCTGGAATCTGGTTTCTATCGGGCGCCAATTTTCACAATGCGCACAATACGTCTTCTTTAGCGCCCCCCAACCCCATAAAAATTGCATAAGAATTGTTTTCAATTTCTCCTGGATAGTACATTCTTCACAGGAGAAAGCAAAATCACCAGGTTTATCAAGGCCAACGAGAAAGCGGCAAAACGCGTGCATTATTTTTCTTTCCTTAGTTAGGCTTGATTGCAAACCCCATTACCCCACATATTGTTGTGTTGTTCTCTTGAGCTGGGAGCATTTGAATCTTATCACTTAGCTTCGCACTCATCTTGCTAATGGCTTAAATTGAGGCCTCAAATGTGGTTATTCCAGGACCCCCAACACCTCCCCCTGACCTATATTGTCTCTTGATTTTTTTTCGCGGCAGAACGAAACTGAAAATAAGTCCCTCTTACAGCCATCACCAAGTACCAAATATCACACTCTCCTCGTCAGGGACACCCAACGAGAATATAGTTCAAAACCACTTAAACATAGCATTGTTAAACGTATTTTAGTATTTAAACGGTAGATTTAGGCATATTTTTATCCCCTAAAATTTTTTCATCTGTTCGGATTTCCTAGCTGAAAGTCTAGTGATCCGAAAATTATAGGGATCAAAACTTACCTTTTCGAAAATTTCAGCCAGAAAAAAGGCTCCCGAAAATTCTAGGTGACCTTTTAAGGGTAAAAATCCGTTAAAAATGGGCAACTATAGTAGTTTTTAGATGTTCGAAAATCCTAGGAGAGGCAGACAAGCAAAAAATTTTACAACAAATGTTCCGAAAATTCTAGATCTCAAATCATCTTCCGAACAGATATTTTTCCGAAAATTGTCGTTGGGTGCCCCTGCCTCGTCACATCTTTCATTCACAAGTTCTAATTCCTAAAGACCAAAATTTGCCTGAAGCACCAGGGTGCAGTTTGTCTCCTACAGTTTGCCGGAGTTTCGGACTACGATTTATAGAAGCCTGGTTTTCCTTGCCTGGAATCTTCTCAGTTGGCAAATTTTCAACAATAGCCTGCAAGTTTCCTTACGACATTTTTGTATAAATATTATACTTGGGCACATATGGAATCAAACACAGCTGAAATAACATTCAACGTTCCAAGTTCCCTTTTTTTTTAATTTAAACAAATTGCACTTTTTCGATTGATGCTCTGATTCACGTCGGTTTTTTTACGGTTTTCGAGTCAAGTCGAAAGAAGCATTTTTTTGAAGTGAGCATAGACCGCCCTGGGCGCTTATTAAATTTTTGGACCTTGAGAGTGGGCGCTTATTCAAGGTGAGCGCTTATTCGAGGCTGGGCGCTTATTAAATTTTCACCATTTTCAGCAAGTGTAGTATGTTTATTTTGCAACGAAACAATAAATGCTAATAACAAAACGCGAAGAAGTAACAAAGCAAGGTTTCTGTAAAATACTCTGAAGAAAACTCCGTCCTCGGGGAAGTCTCTAATTAGAATTTATTCACTCAAGCCTTTAGGATGGGCGCTTATTCGAGGTGGGCGCTAATTCGAGGTTGGGCGCTTATTCGAATAAATACGGTACCTAAGGCTGGATTTCCACTGTCACGTAAATTTAACGCGTGTAAATAAAATAGAAGCAGTCTATGGGAGGGTGCGTGTAAAGGTAAAAATTGAGCAAGGTTCAACTTTTACGTTTACACGCGACCTTCCATACATTGCCTCTATCTTATTTACGCACGTAAAATTTACGCGACAGTGGAAGTTCACCCTTACGAGTGCACAATTTACGTGCGTAAATAATAAATCAGAGACAATGTATGAAAGGTCGCGAGTACTAAAGGTGCGCCCAACACTCCATACATTGACTCTATTCTGCTTTATTTCATCAATGTGCCCACCCTCGTATAAATTAGGCGACAGTGGAAATCACGCAGAGCCTCTTTTTGGCCTTGTTAATTCTTCTACTATCCGCCGTCCCTGCTTCCTCCGACTTAAAAGATATTTTGTTGAATTGCAGCCGAGAAAGAATATGATCCCTTTTGAACTTCGTCGGGCGATGATCAACGTGACGTCGCTGGATTCTTTCTTCCAATCCTTGTCATTTGAAGAAGGATACATGAGCTCTCTGAGAAATGATGTCAGAAGCTTGAACCAAGGAAAACATTGTAGGTTCTTCACGTTTTTATTTTGTTATAAAATGTGCAAAATGCTTCTCTGAAGTATTGGAATACGCAGTGTATCTTTCCAAATCCAGACGTTTTAGTTATTTTTGTTACCACCACCACCACCACCGTAATCATCATCATCATCATCATCATCATCATCATCATCATCATCATCATCATCATCATAATCATCATTATCGCTATCGTTACCTTCCTGTCGTTCTTATCGCTATAGTTATTATATAGGAATCGGGATCTCGTTCCCATAGTCGCATCGCTTTATGTCATGGCCACGTGCCGCAGCTCTGGGGACGAGCATATTAACCCTCGTGTAAGCTGTATTTTGTCATGCGCATAATTTCTGCGCATGTGAATCAGGTTTCTGTGTCAAGCTATGTCATACAGCAAAATCACCACATTTTTAGGTCGTGTTTGTTAATGGTTCTCTCTCTCACTTGGAACGGTTTACTTATACTTTTCCATACAGCAGCTATAACTAACAATATAAAAATTAATTTCACTCTAGATACCAAAGGAATCCTGCGTGGGAGGTTGTCTGACAATTTCGATGGACTTCCTCTTGTTATCCTTGACAGTGCAGAATGTAAAGCGCGCCCTGTTGCAATTGAGGTTCCTCAGCCTGTGCGCCAAGATGCGCTATATTTTCCATTTTTTGTGACTTTGCACCGTTGTGGGGGAGCCTGCAATGGCAGACCGTTTGAAACAAAGTGTGAAGTCCAAGGTAAACATGTTTCTCTTTAGTACCATACATTCAAATGAAACCTCCTCAGCAGCGTATCACATGATACTGTAGTTCTCTCATCCCATTTGCTCATTCATAGAAAACAAAAGCACTTTTGCATGGACGAAGTACAAAACCTATAAAAACATGGTCCAGGTAGTCCCCTCTCAGCAATGGCTCACCATCACCGAGGTTTTCGCGTCCAATCCACATGTATATATTAATGGTGGACACTTGGAGGGACTTCACCCCTGTACATATGGACAACGCGCCAGAAACTCTTAAGGGTACCAGCGTAAAGATTGTTTACTGAGCCTTCCAAACTATATTGATACTTGTCTGATCATTCGTTTTTCTATCACATTATTACGAACACCACCAATAGTCGGAGTACAGGGGAAAACTGTTCTTGTTGGCCATTTTGTACCGCATTCTTAGTATGACTTCATATGCACACCATACTTGGCAAAAGCCTTAACTACTGTAGCGTACCTCCTAAGCCCTTCTATGCTTTACAAGCTTGATTTTAATTTGTGAATCGAAGGTTTCCACTGATTCTTTTCTATCACTGTAACATTCCTTCATTTTACAACCGAAAAAGGCCTGGGGACGAGTTTTTTCGTTATATGATTTAATTCGTGACATCACGTTTTAGAAATTAAATTAAACCGAAAAAAAAAATACTATCCACAGTGGAAACTTCCATACAGAGAAGAGACTAGGAACTGGCCATTTCGAGGTTGCCCTCGACTGTTTTGGAAACGATATCGCTTCTTTTGGGGGGCTGTTAATGGGTTGCATTCGAAATTGGGTCTGAGAATTTGTACTCGAAACAATCCCCAACCTCGTTCCCAGGGTTCTCTCCTGCCCGCCCTACGGAGCGAGAGAAGGGAGGGTAGGAGAGAACCCTGGGAACGAGGTTGAACAATCCCATAGCGCAATTCGACATGACATCGACTCATTCTCCAGCGGAAATGTTTATTACAGGGTCCATTGTATTTTGAGTAATACCCTGGATCTAGAGGTCATTTCTCAGCCTCCGCTGCGAACTATCAGGAATTAACTAAAAAAAAACCGGCACCCGGGGTATATAAGTGGTGATTTGAGGCATCGAATGTCATCCGTTTTACTCAGGGTTTCGTTACACAGGATCTCTGTTTTATACGTTTGGTCTTCTTAGAAGTTATTACTATAGGATTGTATTAATTGTGTTTTTTCCGCTTTAGAATCTGAGGATCTAAATCTTGTGGTAAACAGAGTTGCCTGGTTGTCTGCCTCGGACAAGTTGCACGAGCTATCAAGAGAAATAACAACCGTACGCATAACAAACCACACCAAATGCGGCTGTAAGTGTGCTATAAAGGCAACAGACTGCAACAACAGGACCGAGCGTTATAACGAAAACACTTGCCGCTGCGAATGCAAATCACGCAGTAAACTCTGTCCGTTTAATTTCAAATGGGACCCCCTAGAGTGCCAGTGCAAGTGTAACCTTCAGTCTAGCCACAGGTGCAACAAACGATACCAGTTTGACGAGAAATTGTGTAGATGCGTTTGCAGTGGTAAAAAATGCAAGATGCCCAACAAAGTACGCGATCCTAAAGATTGCCGCTGCAAGTGCCGAAAGCTAGTGTGTCCGAGCGGAATGCACCATGATCGCCGGACATGTCAATGCATTGGAAACAGACGCCGGTCTAGTCTGTGATGCTTAAAATTGCAGGGTTGTGAAAAATACTCGCGAGGATTTCCTTCACAGAGACTAGATAAACAAATGATTCACGCTTAACGAATCTACTTTTTAAAATTGGCCTAGTCGCACAGTTTAAGATAACTAGTTGTAGAATTTGAGATGTTCCCGGCCGAGGGATGCTCCTTGTTTGGCTTTAACCGGTATAGCTTTCAGCGTCGTAAGTCTTAGTTTGAAATTCAAGCAAAATTTGCCTGCATTTTGCAAATTGACCGAGGCCAAATTAACAAGATCAAGAGTTTCAACGAAAGCTGAAAATTCAACGACAAATGAAATTTACGTCGCAGTCGTCGTCTTTGATACCCGCCTAAGCTTCGTAACTGTCAAGTGAACGCCGAACACAGGGCGCTTACCATTTTGTCGGAATTGGCCTGCCCAACTGCCTCAAACTTAAAGAAAACTCTACAAATAGTCAGGTTTTCACAGCCAGATCAGTCTATTCCCTAAATAGTATGTATTGAGATAATGGGTTTTAGCGAATACTTCAAAAAGATTAAAATGTCGTTATCAATGTTATTCTCCGGCCGTCCAGCTCTGAATTTTGAAAAAAGCAGGAGTAGGTTAACCGTTTTAGTTTGGTTTGGCCACAGGTTACCTAGACTCGACGATAGTACCACTGTATAAATCCTGTAAAATAAAAGCGTTTGGATCGGGGTAAAGTTACGACCGTAAATTTTGTAGGAAATACTAAATAAACGTCAATAAAACTTACTCTGCAGTTAGTTTTGTTGTCGCTAATGTTCACACGAAGTTTCGTAAGATATTGTCAAATTCTTCTTCCGTGCAATTAAATCAGGGGAGGGTCTCAAGCGATGAAATCTCAGCCGCCACAGCTCTCTTCCCAACACAACTGTTTCTCGAAATTCAATGAACTCCACTTTACAGGACAATACAGATTTTTTGGGGGGGTGGAGATTGGAGGGATTGGGGTTGTTAGCAAGTAAAGTAAATTATAAGCAACGCGGAAGTGGTGTGTTGATTATTAAAAGCCAGCAGGATAGTGGGTCAAAATTCTTACCAAAAAGACTCAACATCAATCTACTCACTCAAATATTCAATTAGATTTCCAACTGTATCAACTGCATGTACCTGCAGTATGGAGCCCTTAGAATGAGGTTCATAAATAACTCTTTCTGGGACCTTTATAGCAAAAGATAATCACAAGCGCTTGGTAGAGGTGACAACTTGATGAACTTTTTCTCAATAACTATTAAGGGGAACCATTTCCGAAACTTTGTCAGGCGATTACTTAACAGGGTTTTTATTTTAGCGTTCTCGCCCTATGTAAGGTTTCAAGACAGTCTTAAATCTTGGATTCTACGTTGTGGATTGCGGATTCCAAGTATTGGATTCTGGATTCCTTCTAAGTGGACTTGGATTCAGTATTCCAGTAGTAAGCGGATGATTGATCTGGAATGCGGGTTCCAAATCCCAGGATTCGGGATTCCACAAACAAAATTTTCCAGGATTTCGGAATCCAGGGGAATACCTCTTAGGGGTGAGACCTCATTCACTGGGTTGATTAGTAGTGTCAGCTTCCAATATTCAGAGCTTTATTTCTTGTTATTTTATAGCTTATCACTGGGTTACATTGTAAATGAGACGCGGTGTTATGCTTGCACCATTCTTTAAATTACGACAACGCTTTTCAACGTTTAGTTTTTGAATCTAATGGACACGTTCCAAACATCCTTTCAGTTTGTCTAAACAGGACAACATTGAAGGTCCAGGCTTGTGAGCAACGTCGCACTGTTTCATTTTGTCAAAACAGTGTTTCTAAAAAATAGAATTGAGAAAAAAAAAGATGTTAAGACAGTTTTTTCAGATGATTAATATTTAGAGCTTTAAAATCAATGTAATAGGTAACATGAAAAACCAGTGCTACGCCCACCATCAACTGCAAATAAGTTTAGATATACACGTCAAAGTTTTTAAGAGTGAAAGTTAAAGCTACAAGGAATCCAGGTACTTATACAAGCTTCTACCGTTCTGAATCTAGGTTTTCAAAGACCCCAATTTAAACTTCTCTGAAGGCTGTAAAGATACTACCCTGGTCCCAGAGGTTTTTCTTGATTTTTCTTCGCGAAAGAGATCAAGAGCAAACCGCGAAGCGGCGACAACGAGTCGCGAAAGCGACGAGGAGAGAGAGAAATACCGATAATCTCACTTCCATGCTGACGACAGGGTCAGGATCTGACCCTCGGGCGTTGATTGGTTGATAGTTTTCAAACGCGCAAACCAATTTGATTGGCTCGTTTAATTGTAACTACCGAGTGGACGCTGAGGATTTTCATTTTGCCTCTCTCTACTAGGGAAGAAAATTGTTTGTATGCTGCACTCGTAATTCCTCCAAGGCAAAGAGGCACGCCATGGATGTTGTTCCTGAAAAATATTCAAGAAATTTTGACCTCGGTACTTAATGAGCGCTTTCCTGAATCCGATACTGAGCAACAAAAGAAAGCTTGGTTGACTGTGTTCACCATTTTATCAACCGGACATGGAAAGTTTACAATACTGTCATTCCATTAAATAAACTAACTGTTTAGGGCTAAAATAAAAATCTCCGAATACGGAATTTTCCTTGTATACAACTTTGTACAAGCCTGCAATTTTAGACCCCCAAAAAGATCTAACCGACATTTTTGGCCCTATTCGTCCGTGTTTGGTCCAAATTGGGGATAAGATTCTTTGTTTTGCATTTGCATTATAATGTGGCATTCACATTTAAATGATATGGAAATTCCTGAAACAAAACGTTTTTTTTCCCAATTCGGTACATTGAGTTAGCCGAACAAAAGTACATTCCGAACCCTAAGGGTTTGTTGTGCTGCATGACTTTCCTTCGTTGTTCGTGCGAGCCAGATTGCCACCAATACATTTATTTAAAAATTCCTCAAGAAAAGGAAAACCAAGCCATTTTATAAATTTCCTGAAATTTCCTTTCACGCATACTTCGGCTCTGTCACTACTTCAACGGTTTGTTTCATCTACTTTTAACGTTCACTTTTTCTTATTTAAACTTTTCACGTGTACGTTATTATAGTATCATATTTCACGCTATTCTTTATTTCATATTGTCGTCTTAGCTCTAACCCTTTCATTGTATTTAAGACCCTGAAGATGGAAGGCCGTGCCTTTGGAAATATCGGTAAAAGAAATACATATCCCCGACTGTAAAATCAGCCTTGCTTCTTTTATTTCACTTTGATATATACTAACCCATTGGGTACTTAGGCTGGGTTACACTATACATAAAACCGATCTGTTTTGGCCCTTTTGGGTCCGTTTAGTGAGTCCCAGTGTGGGCTGGACGGACACTCGACGAGTTTGTTTTGCCTTAAATTGTGCTTAATTGCTCAAGCAGAGGCTGCATTGGCACTTTAGGCTAAGACAGATCATTTTATTGATAATTTACAGTGTATCAAATCCACAAAATCATAAGCTTTTTTGCTCATTAATTAGAAAGCACGAAAGCAAGTAATACTTACGAATTTTGGAGGAGGATTCACGTCTTTGAAACACTTCATATGTTCTTCTTTCCCTTTATTAGCGTTTTTATTTAGGCATTCAACGAGAGTTTTGACTTTTTTCTAGAGAGAGAAAAAGGAGGAGAGGGAATAAATTATACAACTTGAAAATACGTAGCGTTACTGAATTTTTTCGACTACATTGGTGACCAAACGTACAGTTTTTGCAAACCATTTCCTTATTACCACCTTAGCAAGATTTTTTGTCCGTTTGCGACCTGCGGTCCTCTTGTTAAGGGTATTTTTCCGTCTGTAAAAGCTTGACCACATTTTATTGAAAACTTAGTAAACATTATATTTTAGAAGATTTGTAATCGTTTCATATGGTATACACCTTGAGTGCAACCCACGGCTTTTTGTCTTAATCGGTGGGCCCTTCTCAGTCAAGACCTCATACAGAGTTTTTCTTCTAATAATTTGTACTGTTTATGTCATAAATCTTAATATTTCCAATTGGAATCTGGATAAAAGCTAAGTAAGCATTTTAAGCCTGGTATAACCATTTATTTATGTGATAAATATTCATTTTGTTATTTGCCACCTACTAAAACTACCGCTGCGGCGACTTTTTCTAAAGTTAACAAAACGATGTACACTGTTCTCAGAGCCTCAATTTTCTCTTTAGGGAAAGTCGAACGCGTGTATGAAAATAAAAAACAAAAAAACCGAAAACCAAAAAGCGTCTGCGGAGAGGCTAAACACGATCACAAGAAATTGAAAAAAGAAAACCAAAGTTATAACAAGTTACTTACCTCGACGTCGAACATAATTTTAGCTGGATTTGGTGGATTTGGTGGGTCTTCCAGTTTCGTTTTAACCAGGTATTTGGCAGCAGTAAGAGAGAAACAGAACAAAAGCGCTAAAATAGCCTTCATGACCTTTCTTCTTTGTCGAATGATAACCGTGCGTGTTACGAACGTTTTAATTTCTAACTGTATTATCAAGAAATCTCAGCACAGCGAAAACGTGATATTTATTAACTACGGAATCCTTAGCGTTTTTGTTTGTTCACCTGCGTTACTTTAATGAACGTAGTTGTAATATATATATATTTTTTGAATAAAAGCTTCTGAAAGTACTCAGTAATGCGTAATGAATTCTAAGATTGAAATACTTTGTTTTGGCCGGGTACTTTTAAAACTTTGTGAGGTAAAAGTGCTGGAAGATTTTAAGCTTGAATCTGTCTACGTTTTTTAAAAAATGGAACAGTATAAAACAAATTTCCATTGGTTAAGTTCTAGTCATAATTAAGGTGGAGTGTAACGCGTAAAGTTTGCTTTAGCAAATTGTAGTTAATATTGAATAGCTATTGATCTTTTTTACATTAACGATTCAAAGCATGTCAAACTGTAATTTGTTCCTTAAAGCTTGGATTTAGTCATTTAACGACACCCCTTCGCCGACACTACTTCAAAATTTTTGTAAAATATAACTGGGAACAGTTTGTTGATTGTGGGGCGTAGTTTTGCTTTTTCCACTAATGAGAACTCTGCAGCTGTGGCTAGTAATTAGGGTTTTGTTAGATCCTTCAGCTGTTCACGAGCAAATTCAACCCGCGACCATTTTCCTTTGTCCGCGCGCGTCTGGCTATGTCACGTGTACGTTTAAAGAGCTTGGCCCGAGTTTATAATGGAAATCCTTTCATCTAGATCTGAAAAAAAAAGAGAGAGCTGGGAAAATAGGGATTTGTGCACGCCCAGTTCCCTTCTTCTTCAGTCTTCAGTCACACTTGCTGGAAGTAGGGATGTTCCACCACCGTCTGTGTCAGTTTTATTATGTACAGGCGCTGGCAGCCACACTGCACAGTCAGTTATAATTGCTTGCAGCCATATTGTTTAGATTATCATGTTCCTCACAAACTTTGACTAAACATCGATTCCTTGCGTATCCTCGGTAGTCATTTCCCATTTTAAGACAAATATTTCAGGCAGGTGAATGTCGAAAGGTGAAATACAGTGTGTTGTTTCTGGTAGGGTTTTACGACCCAGTGTTCCTGGACATTGGGCATATTGGTGTCAAGGTGGAAGGAGTTGTACCTTAAATATCGTTTTTCAACAGGGAGGGTAGGAAGTTATCTTTCAGCCGTTATAACGGGGCAAGGGTCGAGTTAACTTTTACCCTTATTTTACTCATTTTAGAGCCTGACCCCTCCCCTCCTGGTCTTTTAGATGTCACTTGAAATTTGAAGTAGCTAATGAAAGCGCAAGGTGCACACTAAGAGCACAGAATCGCTGTGAACTGGCCCTCGAAAGTGTGACCGGTAGATATGACTGCTCGACAGTCAATCGAAGTCAAGCTTGACGATCGAAAGGGATCTTTAGAAATCATTACATCCCGAAGGTTTCATCCAAAATAAGTACAATACACTGGGTTTCTCTAAACAAGTTATCGTATCCATGAGGAATTCTACTGTTTTATCGTCCTCGTCAACGATGACTATGCCCACCATTTTGAAAAGTCACCTAAGTGAGACGTGACGTCATATTGGCACGAGAACTGAACCACCAAATTGCTTGGAGACGCCCCCTCCTTCCTGATATAAAGGACCTTAAGATCCGAGGACTGGGACGCAGAGAAAACGTCGCTGAAAAAGTGAATTCGCGTTCTTTCAATCTTCATCGCGATTACTCCAAGTCACTAACTTTGTCAAATGTAGGTGAACCCTCCTAAAATTGAATTCCTAAGAACCATATACAACTTCAGAACGGGGAGGAAATTTCGTCGTCGCTTGTGTACTTCCTCTGCACATCCTGAAATTAGGCATTTTCACGTCGTAGTCGTGCAGTGACGGCTAAGAAATGTACAAAAAAAGCTTGAGCTCGTGCAAAATTGTTGTTTTGCTAATTAAGCCTAATTATTGCTTTTGTGGCGTTCACGTTGCCGTCGCCGTCGTTGGATCTTGAGGTACCTATAAGCGCATATAAGGCTGTAAGGCGGGTAAACCTATTAGCAACCCTAATCCCTGATCCCGGTATCCTCTCAGTTTCAACTCAGTTAGGCCCCGTCCACATTAATGCGTTATTGTTTGAAAAGGCATACATTTGGATGCGTTCAGGCCTTCCTTCCACACTAATAAGCTGAGCGTTTTCATGGAAAATGTAACCATTTAAAAACCCTCTTGAAAGTGAATCAAAACGAAACACATACATATCGTATTAGTGTGGACGGTCAAAAACGGTCGAAAACGCATCAAAGTGAAGACAATGATCGAATATATCACAGGCGCGCGTGCCTGTAGCATGCGCCTAGAGACCAACTTACGTCACAACGTGCAATTCTATCGCTTTCGAACGTTCTAGTTTTAGAAAGTCCAAAGTGCATCAAAACGGTAGTGTGGACGCGAATCGATCGATCGATGCGTTTTCGATAATAACGAACACCATTATTATGGACAAGGCCTTAGTATGCTTGGGTGATGACAACGTAATCGATATATTTCCAGTAAAGCTAAATTGAAACAATTCAAAGGTTTGCTCTTCCACAAAGAATTTTATTTGTTCAAGATTAGCGTGGTTAGTGGTGCCATTCAAAAGGGTATTTAATGATTTCAGCGGAACCATCCTGATCCAGCCATTTCTCCTTCTTCGTAAGGCAAGCATTTTTTAATGGCTTTCATACACTCCCCGAATTCGCTACCCTTCGGTTGTTTGCGGCATGGGCGAAATGCGTCTTTGATGCATTTAATCTAAAAGAAACGGAAAAAAAAATCTTTTTACCACATACTCATCACAGAATTCCAAATCAACAAAAGGTATGATGCTGTCTGTATTTGATCTTTGTTATGCTTAACTCAAGGGGCACCCTGCCTGCACAGTCTTTCTTTGCCGGGCTTGCTTGATTGGTGTCCTCGAGAAAGACTCTGCCTAAATCGAATTTGATCTTTGCTGAGCATGCCCTGCATGTTGCTAGGATACATTTCCGAGCCCAGGCCTAATAGCCGCGCGCTTGGTTCAACGGGCTCAGTTATGACCATCGGTTTATCAATAAACGAATGCTTGCACTCGTAAAACCAGTCTGAAAGAACCGTTTGAAAGAACAAGATTGATTAGTCAAGACGTTTGGGCTGCGGCGACCTCAAAAGGCTTGACGCGATTTAGGCAAAGGCCCCTTTTCGCTTTTCTTCCCCTCTTCAAAGAAGACAGAAGGACACTCTGCTCGCGGGGTATTCAAGGGACTACTTTGAAACTAAATGACTAAGGCCAAGCAAATGGTCAGATCCCTATCTCTTTCTCGAAAGTGGTCCTTATAATGCTTTGAGGTGTATTCAACAATTATTCCACGAGTGCGCGTTGGATATGAGTTGGCTATAATTATTTCATATCTAGCAAGTACGAGTGGAATAATTGTTTTATTAAAAACGCCCAAAAAACCAACCGATTCTCATCTTGTTTTCAATTGTGAGCAGACGCGTACAGTTACCATATTTGGAGAGCGTGATATAATGGCTCATATACCATGATAGCTAGGCCAATCAGAGCTCTAGAATTGCATTATCTAATGATTCGGTTTTTAATAAAAATACATATGTATCAAACCCAGGGGCACTCCCTATAATAATCGGGGTGGCTCGGCTAGAAGGGGGTTCCTTTTTCACGCTCAAGGTATATGAATGGGTAAGGGTTTCACTAGTTGAAATATATGATAGGGTAAAGAAATCTGTTATTTATTCAGTATTGGTGTCAAGTGAGTCAGAAGGGCTAACAAAGGGGCAGGGGTTTCACTAGTTGAAAGATACGGTAGGGTAAAGAAATCTGTTATTTACTCAGTATTGGTGTAAAAGGAGTTAAAGGCTAATAAAGGCATTTTATGGCTGTGTAGAAGTCAAGATAACTTCGTGGTTTATTCATATTTAAGAGACTGCATTTACAGCTGTAAAAATGGATGGAACGTTCTAAACTAGGAATGTTAAAGGGGTACCATTTATCATAAGAGGGCACATTAAGGAGGCTAAGGGGTTGGACCTCCAGGCAGAGCCTCCCCGTATAAAACTTCGTTGAGTCCCCCCACCCCCCTCGGGGATATCCTTCACTATTACTGAAAGCCGCCATATCCTGCTATCTGTTTTCTTTTTTTCAGAGGCCATTTCACTATTAAGAAACATGAGTGGTAATCGGACGACCAAGAGCTGAGAAAATTTGTTTTTTTAGTCCATCGCAGGATCGCATAGAAGGATCTAAGTTAAGATTATTAAGTTTACGAGAAAATGACCTGTTACGGCCAAGAAGGGTGGAAAAGGTATGCTGTAACTGAGTTATAACCGAGAAAACGTTTTGTCCCCCGCAGTTTAGAACTGATTCTTGCACATCCGCCCCTACTATGCAATCCTCTGATCTGTGATAAATCAAAATGATTTCCTAATTCATCCCAGGGTCAAAATTTGAATTCTCATTTGTTGACCACATTCATCTCCTACAGAAGTAGTGGGGAGAGGTTGATAAAATATCAAGCAAATTCATCTTGTGTGATCATGTCCGTAATTCTCATGACAACTCTGTTTTACAAATATTGATATTGTAAGGAGAAATTTGATGCTGATAACTCTTAGGGCTTAAAGTAGCAGGGGCAACTAAAGATGGTTTCCTCCTAAAGACACTGAAAACTCTTTTTAGGCTATCCAGAGTACTTTTAGATCTCTAGAAATGCATTCTAAGCGGCGCTATAAAATTTGTATTCAGTATTATTTTCCCGAGAGTTTTAGATGCAATTCAACGTGTTACGAAAGTGAGAATTGCTCTTTAGTATTCATTTATCCATCTTATTTTTGAATCCGAAAAGTTTAGATTTCTTTTTTGTACGAAAGTAAGCCTAAGATGGAGAGTAAAATGTGAAAAAATTAAACTTCAGAAAATCGTAAGGAATTTATTAGATAAGCTTCGAAAATTGTACCGGAATAGAACGGTAATCTAGAAATTTCCAGCCTCCCTCAAGCAAAGGAAAATTATGGGCAAGTTTGATTCTCCGAACCATGTTAATTCAAAGAAAACACTCACTGGGTGCTCCTGAAATAGACACGATACATGCTTTGGGTTAACCCGCCAGAAGTCACGCCATTGATAAATCAATTAGAAACTGCAGTGCATGCATGCTTATAGCCGGAACTTACAATTTGCTTCCTTTTCATTGCGGGAAGGTGTTGGAGCATCATTCCCAATTCCTTTATACAACGTGGCTTGGCTCTGCCGTGGTGTTTAGAAACGCAAGAAGTAAATTCCTTAATAACAACCTACAAGAAAAAAGGTAACAAAATTGACAAGAATATTGATACACCGTACCATTCCCGGAAAATGAGGTCTTTTAGTTGTTAAAAGAACTAGAATAAGATGATAAGTAATCATCAGTGCATCAGCGGATGAAAAAGAGTAATTGAAAGTATGGTAATTGAAATGTAAGTCCATAAACTGTATTGTTATTTAATAGTCCCCTTACTTTACCAGTGGCTACAGAACCAGCTACCCGCTAGTAAAAACTTAGCTTTTAAGATCCTGTTAAAATAAAATTTTGCTATTAGACCTTCCATTTACAACAACTCGTTTAGCCTTAAATTGGAAAACGATTCCTACTTTCCAAAATCTATTTAAAATAACGCCTTCTCTGAAAGAGGACTTCAAAATTCAAGGGATCAAGGCTTTAACTTTTTTATTATAGTCGTCTTTACATAAATACTTTATTTGCCGCAAGTATAGTAGTCAAATAATGGTACGCAGATTTCAAATCAATCAATTTCAAAACGTACGTGTAAGGATAGGTTGAATGGCTCGCTGCGCGACCTCATGCATTGATGCTCGCTTCGCTCACTTTTAAGAACTTATGATAGGTCGACTTGTAGCAAGTCTACATAAGCTAAGTCGCGCGTGCTCATCATTACGCGCGAGCGAAGATCCTTGCCCTGCGGCGCGCGTTCAGTTCTCGCCTTACCAAACGTGTCAATATCGACGCCCAAAAGCGGCAGCGTGAAGTTGCACCTTTCTCTGAAAACGTCTGCTTGAAAAAATTTATCGATTTTTTTGGATACATATTCGATTAGAAAATAATTGACATGTAGCACAGAGTTTTCTGAAAGTGTGACAAAAGGATTGTTGAGATTGCCTTTGAAATACAAGTAGGTAGGGTGTTGATTACAGAAGTATTAAAAAGATACCCTGAATCCATTACTATCCATTTTGTAATTCCGTCTGATCTTTTTCTAAACGGTAGTCAAATTCTTAAAAAAAGAAATTCTGTTAGCAGTTGTTTCGAGTATTTTTGATATGCTGAAAGAATGAAAGATGCTAAATTTACAAATATGTATCTATGGTTTTAATCTGTGAATATATCCATGACTAACATGTCCGACCATACAAGTCATGAAAACTAGGAATATTAATTAAGAGCTGGTGCTCTTAATTTTTTGCGGCGCGTGTTCGATCATTATATATTTTAAACAATGATCATTCATGTTGCTGTTCCTTATCATCAATATTACGCAAAGTCCGAGTGCTTAATTTTCTGTGAAATCGCATGAATACTTAATTTTTGGTGTGTTTTCTAAGCAAAGCACACCTGTTTTCAAGTCTAGTTTATTATGACTTATTCAGGCCTTTCCTTTTTAAAACTTTTGTCGACAGTAGCTTGCTGCTTGGTGTTTAATTTACTATTTTAACAGGGGCACCCAACGAGAATATTGTTCAAAACCACTTAAACATTGCATTGTCGAACGTATTTTAGTCTTTAAACAGCAGATATAGGCATTTTTTACTCCCTAAAAATTTTTCATCTGTTCGGATTTCCTAGCCGAAAGTCTAGTGATACGAAAATTATAGGGATCAAAACTTACCTTTTCGAAAATTTCAGCCAGATAAAAGGCTCCCGAAAATTCTAGGTGACCTTTTTACGGTAAAAATCCGTTAAAAATGGGCAATTATACCATTTTTTAGATGTTCGAAAATCCTAGGAGAGGCAGGCAAGCAAGAAATTTTACAACAAGTGCTCCAAAACTTCCAGATCTCCGATCGTCTTCAGACATTTTCCAAAAACTGACGTTGGGTGTACCTGTTTTAATGAGTGCTGGGGAGTTAGTATAATTCTGATAAGAATTATACCTTTTTTTCTGGACTGTTATTTCAACACGTCTAAATGAAAGCCAGGCTTAAATTTAAACTCTCTACGAATAAGACTGACTAAGCACCTACCTCTATATTTATGGGTTTGCTCATGTCCGGTCCCATGTTATCGAAGTCCAAATCCGCGAGCTCAAAGAGCTCCTTTTCGGGATCTGTGGATTCTGCGATAACAGCCACCAAAAAAAGAGCACAGAGGCAAACAACCTGGAAAAATGTCATCGTCTCGGACGACACTAAAGAGAACAACTGTTTCTTGGCGAGGAAATTCGTCGAACCAAAGGACCAAAAAGACTTTGCCACGGTGCAGTTAAATTTTTGAAAGCAAAGATTGTAAATGAGAAGATTACACATTGTTCCAACTAGTTAATATTCTGATTACTCAGCTGGTTTCAAAGGCGTTCTATCATATAAATGACCTTATTAAATCCCACGGAAAATATTTTTGGGAGCGACTATTTATAGTTTTAAGATAGTACAGGCCAAGTCAAGTCAAGTCCTGAATTCAATATAATTCGATTCACTTTACAGAAAAGTTGAGATATTAGTTTTTATTTCATTCATTCAAATAATTTATCCGTTTCTGACTGGCTTTATTACCCAGCCAAGTGTTCATAACCAGCTGGTGCTGATCAAATTTGGGAGGTGCTTTGATTATACGTCAGTCACTGAAACGTCAATGGGGAGTTTAAGCAACGATGTTTTTGAGCGACGCACGTCAGTCGGACGTGGACTTTTTGTACTCTTCGGTCGTGATTTTGAAAGAAAATTCTTGGGCAAATTGTCTCGTGAAGCATTTAGCAATACATTTTAGCAATACATTTAGTTGCGTTAAGGCATATTACTAGAGATAAAGACTCACTACGGGTTGACTTTATTGTACAAATTGTTGCGAGGGAACGCTGCGGGGGAAATGGGTCTACATTTCTTTCCCGAAACAGTCTCATTGGACAATTTGACACAGCTGAGACCCAGCCTTATGCAACTGAGACGGTTAGCATTATACAACATCGGGTGAAGCCAGTTTGGACACCTTATGAAGTTTACACAACGCATTATTTTCTTAACGTAACGAGACTCGAACCTTGTAGAATTGCTGAAAAAACAAACAAACAAACAAACAAACAAACAAGTAAACAAAACTGCACAGTGACAGTTATTGAGAGAACATACTAGAGAGTTAAGCACTGATCTGCAGTGATCAGTGTTAAGCAGCGAACCGCGACGGTTAGCTTTCAAGTATTGTAATGAGATATATGGCTCACACTTTGTAATACCTGTCGCACTTTGCAATAAAATTGTCACACTTTGTAATACCTGTCGCACTTTGTAATAACACTTGTCGCTCTTTGTAATAAAAAAGCTGTCGCACTTTGTAATAACAGATCATCGCACTTTGTAATAAAAAAAGCTGTCGCACTTTGTAATAACACTTATCGCACTTTGTAATAAACTTGAAATAGATGGTCGGAGGACAAGTAAACCCAGTAATCAGTGTCATCATCGACAACAACAACAACGACAATAATAATAATAATAATAATAATAATAATAATAATAATAATAATAATAATAATAATAATAATAATAAAGTAAAAACTTGCAAGAGGTGACAGGCCGCACATCTTCACCGGCGTGAAACCTTTGAAAACCTTTTACATATTGCTCCATTGAGGAGAACTCTTTCAGGGATCTTACAGTTTAATATTTGAACCATGATATAGCTTATATATAGCGGACCAAGATACGGCTCGGTACAGTTTATGTTCAGCAAGGGAAAATTGTGTAAGTTGAGCAGAACCTTTAAAATGTACAACAGACAATTTGTTCAGTTCGTGCGTATTTCTGTTGAATTTGTGGCCCGTTTATGAGATTTGTCTACTCAAAAATATAATAATTTTTCCATAGCTGCTGTAATCTTAGGGTATCTGCTTTTAATATCTCCGTAAAGTTTAGGTTTACGCGATCTCAGAGAACAATGTTCAGCTGTACACAGCACGTAACCTTTAACCATATCCAGATCTTACACTGGTTTTGTGTATTTATCACAATGATGCCGTTTCATGTAGGTTCCAGCGTATTCGAAATTTCCACAACATTTATTAGTAGTGGTCATCGTGGCCCAATGACGTGATATACAATGTTTTAAAGAACATTTTAGTGCGAAAATAATAGTGACAATAATGATGATGATGGCAATGATTGTGGCACCGGGTTGTGCTCTGAGTTTGTGATTTTCATAAGGTTTTATGAAATACAGTATAGCTTATTCATGGTAATAAATACAAATCAAGTAATATCTCTGTATATGTCTCAAGTAATACCTCGCAGGTAACGAAATCATAGGTTTTCTAGTTACCTGTGCTAGTAGTAACACTTTAAAAATATTTTGCTTATACGATCGCCTGAAGGACAACTTTAATTGCTTTTACTAGCAATCAATTAAATGAAATTCCAATACAAACTCCCCTAGAAAGATCTTGAAGCCAGTAGTTGATGTGAACACTTATTATTATTATTGTCGTTGTTGTTGTTGTCGATGATGACACTTATTACTGGGTTTACTTGTCCTCCGACCATCTATTTCAAGTTTATTACAAAGTGCGACAGTTGTTATTACAAAGTGCGACAGCTTTTTTTATTACAAAGTGCGATGATCTGTTATTACAAAGTGCGACAGCTTTGTTATTACAAAGTGTGACAATTTTATTACAAAGTGCGACAGGTATTACAAAGTGCGACGATTATTACAAAGTGCGACAGTACATACGTACATGTATATTTTAAAAATTTCGGTATTTGGCAGCTAGTCCTCGATGGTGTAGTGGATGTGGATGTATAGGTTATGAAGCATTAGCCTTAGCTTCAGTCTTTCACAACTTGCGTTAAACAGATTATTCTTTCTTGCTTTTGACTTTATTATACATATTCTTTCTTTTCTTTTCTCTTTGCTTTTCGCTTATTATCAGGTAATATCTGTTTTGTAATTTTAGTGAAAGAAACAATCTGGCGTCAGCCGATGTTACCGAATGCTAACCACACGCCACCCAAAGTAAAAAACCTGAAGAAAGAATAAGTGCTCTTACCATAATGACAAAACAACGTTTCCTTTGAACAACGGAATAGAAACAACCTATTTGTACTTAGTGCTAAATTAAAAAGAAAAGGGAGAAATCAATGGAAATTTATTACAACAAAAGCCGATTAATTACAATCAGGTCGAGATAATAAGTAAATTTAAAGCCTATGGTGAAACTTTTGTGTTAAAGTTCATGCAAGGTTAGAGGTAAGCACGCCTTCCAATGGATGAAACCTCACTCTAGTTAGCCATTGAGATCCATAAGTTTGCACTGAGCGCAAGTTTGAATATTAATCATTATAATCAGTAATTGTTTTTCAGTAGCAGCGGACAAAGCTGCAGTTAACAGATTCACCACTACGGCGATTATCAGTTTTTTCTTTTTTTCTTTCTAGATCTATCTACTCGGGTAAATTAAGGCCTGGGCCCCAATTGCGTCAATTTGCCCACTTTAAAGTGAGGAGGTGGTCTATATCTTAGAGCTTTAGATGTAGACACATAAAACTTTGCCAGCTATGCACATTTTCAGTTTGTGCCAATTTCTTGCTTTAAAATTATGCAAATTAGGTCAACTGACCTGCATCGGCTGAAAAAGCTTGTTCTTGAAACGGCAACACTGTTTCGTGTGTCCTCAATTATTTTGCTGGATTCGTAATGTTAAGGCCGTTTAATATATCACGTCTGTGCTTGCCTTTTTTTGAGATATTTAAAAGCTAAGGCGTGAAGATGGGATAAAATTGCCTTGGGGGGACTGGGTCTAGTTGAAAAATCGTTTATTTTCTAAAACAGTGGAAAAATTCAAAAAAATGCCAAGCCCAGTTTTGTAGATGCTTGCATTACACATTATCAATCAGTTCGGTTTAATGACTCACTACAAAAAGTGTTTCCATTTTTGTTTAAAGACGTTATATTGTTTTCTGGCTGTGTGGAGTCAGGTGACAACATTTTCATAATTGAAAACCACCAAATTGACAGAAACCACACATGTATGTATCTAACAAAGTCTCATCTTTCTAATGCTAAAGTGCTCAGAGATAGACCACCCCGATTACCTTTTGACTGAATAATCGGGGACCCATACCTTAATTTACCTGAGTAGACAGGTTTGGATCTAAATGAGTTCTGCTTGCAAGAAAAGTGCTTTTAATACATCCTGATGCATCTGACTTTCAGCGAGAAAACGCCGATGAAATTTCGGTAGCAATAGTTAGGATTCGCTAGTTTCTCTCTGTGTTTTGCTCCAATAACCGAAATCGGTATAGCAAGCCAGTGCTTTATGTGAAAGTGGAAGACACATGCAGTCAAGTTCTCCTGCTTGACCAGACCTGGTCAAGTTATATGACACAAAGGGAGCTTAAGGAAAGACGATTGTGAGCTATGCACGTCAATCAGAGGTGGTCCTTTTTTATTCTTGGGTAGTGGTTTGCCCAGATTTTCAAAATCGGGGCAAGTCGTCTCTTAAGAGTAAGGACACCTAGCAACAGAAATTCCGCCAACTTTTACCAGTGCGTATAGTTTTTTAGACTCTAAAACAAAAGTAAATCTTGTAAAATAAACTAGTTACGAAAGACTTGTTGAATCAACCACGCCCTATTCTTAGTTTGCAACCACGTAAGAAGGAAGCCATGTTGGTTAACAAAACAGTACACTTTTTTTTAAGCATAATTTGCATAGAGAAGAAAAAAAGGATTTCAATCCCCAGAAGAGTTCTTGTTTATCAGCTACGAGCCAGTAGTACTTGTTCCAAAGGCTGCCTGGCTCTAGGCCTCATGCTCGCGGCAGATATGATCCGACTCGAATGCATCACCGAAATTTCAGTGTCCAAGGAAAATGCCGTACAGAGACCCGGCAATTCCTAAGCTGTAGAGTTTGGTACATGGTGTATGATTGAGCATCGCCAAAAAAAAAAATGACACTTCACCATGATGGGTATATTTATAAGTTTTATTATATCTTGGTTTAGCCTTTTTTCCCCCACTAATTGTTATCAGCGACTCATAGCCATTACAATCAACTTGCTTTTGTTCCGAAGATAAATTCTCTAAACGTTGGTCACTTTGTTTACTTTCTTTCCTTGTTGAGACTCCTGTGGAAATAGCTAAAATAGTAAAAGATATTCCGTTAGAAGAAGGTTTATACCACGTGTATATTAAATCGTGCTTTAAAATTATCGAAAAAGAAATTCACTCTCTTCTTAATTTTAAACAATGCGTCAAAAAAAAAATTGTTCTATATTATTTTAAGTTAAATATTGTTGACTTGCTCTAGCCCGAAATTATGATTTGTTTTTGGTTAACTTTACTTATCTCTTCTTTGTTGTTGTTGTTATTGATTTTTTCTGTACTAGAGATCGAGTTTATATTCGAGACCTGCACTGTAGCACGACTACGAGAAGAGATTAAACTTAATGTTTTCGCGTATTCTCAAAATACACCCCGAAAGCTTCATAATCCATTTTTTACCAGAAAAGTTAGCACGGTCATTTTTTTCTGAAGCAGTTTAAGCCTTCTTCCAATGACAAAATGATAACTTGTTTCTGCCACTACGATAATCTCTCAACAATAACTCGTACCAAGATGAGAGAAAGATGACGCTGGTTCACGCGCGCGCACTACTTGCTTTTGAGAAAATCTGGTCCTCGTAATCATTCTTGAGCCGACCATTTGACTTGGGGGTGGTGGGGATATGGTGATTTCAGAAAAAAATTTCCTGAAGACTGATTTCGAGGGAAAAAATTCTTGCAAGGAAATACCTGGCGAAAAAAATTCCTACACTGAAAAAACTGGCGTATAATGGCGGAAAAAAATTCTCTCGCCGTTGCATGTCAGGAAAAAATATTCTTTCACCATACTTCTTTGGGAAAAAAATTCTTACACAAACAAAATCACCCGTACACCCCTAAAAGTCAAATGGTCGGCTTCCTAGAACCTAAACGTCTCTACTAATTTTAGTAATGCATTTGACTAAGTCTAGACGGCGCGTGACGGCAGCAATTGTTCTTTTCTTAGTTGGTTCCACTTATCTCCTTTAATGTAGTTCGTAAGTCCCGGCTATTAAATGGTCAAAGTTTTAAATGAAGATATGATCGTCGCAATGGTAATTGCAATTTAAGTTTTCAATTAAAGTTTTCTAGACAAAAAAGAAACGCTTGAGGTAGACATGCGCAGGGGCTAGCATTAATCATTTGTGACTATATGTATTCTCCTGTAGTGGCAGAATTTTTTTTTGTATTTATGCATTTGAGCACAAAAAAGACTTGTTACGGGCCTTTTTTGACAAGCAAACCTTGCCTGATAACTTTAAGATAGGCCTAACATGGGAAAGTTATTCATACCAGTTTTCCAACAATACGTTTGCGTCTTTTTTTTTTCAGCAGTTACATCGCCAAAATAGGCTTGTACTGTATTTGTGTTGCACTCAAGAGGATTGGTTTTACAAAACAGAGGAAGTACAGGGCCATTGTTCATGAGATTCAGGAAATTGCCCTTTACTGATGCCTCTTTGTTGGTATCTTTACAGTCTCCAGCAAAGTTGAAAAATGGAAAACTTCTCATCCATAAATTGTTCAGGTTCACCGTCTCTGTTGAGAACAATTTATATTTTTGGTCATATTTTAATAACGAAAAATAACTACACTTTACTCAAGAGATAAGATAACTTCTCGAGAGGGGAGACTCTTGAGGACTCCCCAAAGTAAAAGATAAAAAATGTAAATCTGAAAACTGGAAAAAGTTATTTACATATCATAGTCGTAACTGCTTACAATCATGCTAATTAATATTTACGGCGTAAAAATCTTCAATCTGTTGCGAAATATACGACTTCTTTAGGCAAGTTATTCCACACATTAACGATCCATACGCAATACTTGTAGCAATATTGAGTGAAAACTTTCACATTCAGTTTACAATCGTGATTGGCTCTAGTTTGCTACACTTAGTAGGCTCAAAAACGAATCGAGGAAAGGTTATCTATTCCAAAAACTATCTTGTAGCACTGAACCAGAGATAGAACTCCCTACGTTTATCCAGAGTTTGCCAATTCAGTAAGCGACAGCAGTCTTTATAGCACATATCACCACACTTTTGCTTTTAAGGCAAACCGGAGGCTCCACTTTGTACTTAAGACCGCAGGATACACCTATCTATGAATAAATTCATAAGGCAAAATTTTGCTCGTGCTTCATCTTTAAAAACGTTTATATCTCGGCTGTTTTATAAGCCCCTCTTCCATTAGGCCCATCTACGTGTAAACAGCAGCAACAAAAAAATATACGAGTCTAAGCCCCCTGGATATAAGCCTCTCTCCCCTCTAGCTTGTATGGAAACGACTTCGATTTATTATGAAGTTTTGAAATAGAAAAAAAAAAAAACAGTAAAAATTAAGGACGCATTTTGATCAGCATCGCTGTATCTTGTTTCGAAGCATTTTTTGTATTCCCATTAAAAGCCCCATAGGATATAAGCCCCTCCGTTATAAGCCCTTCTAAAACCCCTAGCGCAAATGTATAATCCCAAGGCTCATAAGCAGCAGGTACAGTTATACGAGAAATTCATCGCACTTACTTGTGCAGCTTGGCCATGGTAGCTTTGGATCGTAAGGACCAATTGAGAACGAGTGCCAATTTCCTCCAGAGCAGTAATAAGCAAAGGGAGGAGTGAACTCAAAGTCATAGCCTTGTTTACATTGAACTTGGCAAGTCGGTTCCGATCCAATGTAGTTGCACACCAAAGCGCCATCCTTTGGTGGAGAGTACAGAGGACAGGTCCCTGAAAAATAAATAGATGCTAAGACGAGCAAATTTAAGAAGTCTCAAAACCTTTACAAAGAAAAATGGGAACATAATGTATTATTTACACGTTTGGTCGCCTTTTTTGTGAAAACAATGCTTTTTTCAATCAGTGTCATGTCAGTCGCGCGAGTACTCTCAAAGGAACTCCGCTATACATTCTTTTTTATGTATAAGAACCCTTTTTATATGTAAATAAAAAATATTTAATTTTAAGAACATACAAAGAATATTCCCAGATAGAGAGAATCAGTTTTGAACGTCTTGTATTTTGCTAATTTTTTTTTTTTGCGAGTAGCATAAGTAACGGTAAAAGAGATGTTTATTGCGTGATACACTGGAGAACAACTTAGTTTGTGGTCGAACTTAATCAGTACTTTTAAGTCATCACGTCAAAAACTTCAAAAATAAAACTTCACAAAAGAAAACTGAGCCGTTCAATTTTTTGAACAAATGAAAGTTAAACATGATCAGGGCGTCATAATCGCGATAATCTCGATATAATCGTAAGAGAAATGAATAAATAATAAAGTCCAGCTTCAGCTCAAAATTAGACGTTCCTATAAAAAACATTGTATGCGCGGTAAAGGGCAAGGTAGTTTGTCTGGCTCTGCCACACAATGACTCAATGAAATACTTTTGTGCTTGGATTCCATATTGCATGAGGTCTTTTTACAGGAGTCTATAAGAAACAATATATTACCTGTAATTAAAAGAGCAAACTGATCAACCACTAAAAACAGCACAACAAAACTGAGCAGAGTGGCCTTCATAGTTGTGATCACTAGTTCCGCTGCGCTCGACCAGTGTTTGTATCCTGACGAATCGTTAACCGTTTTGGTGCACCAAGTATCGAAGACTTAAATCCAATATACTAAAACAATTTCGCTTTTGACAGTTTGGTATATCAGAATTTAAATGAGAAATTATATTTTAACTTAAACGCTAAAGGTATTTTTGCAGCCGTTCACAGCTAAAGAATATGTTATTGCTTCACTCAGTCCTAAAAAATGGTCAGTGAAAATCATGCAGACCGAGGGAAGTAAATATTTGACTGAAAACTGCGATTAAATGACCGATATATTTAATCTATACTGAGACCAGGAAAACGGCGTCCAGGGGTTGCGGTAAGTTTGTATGTGGTCAGAGGTTCCGATCTCGACGCCGAGTACGCATGCATTTTAATCAGCGTTTTAGTACCGCTGAAATAAATCATTGTCAGTTGCTCAAATAATAAAGGAAAACAGCAGCAGAAATTCACACGATGATTAACAATTATTCACCGAAGGGGAAGTTAATATTGTCGAATAACCCCCGAGACGAAGTCGACGGGATTATTCAACAATATTAACTGAGCCTGAGGTGAATAATTGTTTTAGTATATTCACACGAAGTGATATCAACAGAATCAAAAAAGAGACGATTAGTTTGATTGACGGGTGAATTCATGCGTGAACACGGCGAAGCCGTAAACAGTGGATGCGCAAAAGTTAGACTTTTACAGTATCTTTAAACATGGCAATTGATAGTTTTAATCTTTTTGTATCGATTTTTGTAAGCTTTAGCATCAACGGTTCAGCCACGGTTTAAAAGAAAAGGCCGAAAATTGAAATTAATACCCAATTATGAGAAGAAAAGTAGAGCTTTATTTGTTTCTGTAAACTCACCGCGAATGAGAAAGCTGTTTATCTGCAGTGTTCTTTGCCTTGTTAAGTTGCTGGCACGTACAATTTCCGAAAATGTTTGCCTTTCTTTTTTCTCCATAAATTAACTTCTATTTATAGGCAAAATTGTTCTTGCGAGAAAATCCCGAAATCACAAAACAGTGACAAAGCGGCTTCTTTTTCCTCTGTAGTCCGTGTAAACGAGCGTGCAAAAAGTCAGCTACAGTAAACCACTTTATAATAAATCACGCTGTTTAAACATCATGAAGTCTTTTCTTCCCTTCAAAGTCATCAACACTTGGATATTCTTGTATTTTCAAAAAGTTCTTGCTATGAAACTTTGGCAAAACACTCAGTTCACGACAGCGATTTTTTTGTGCTTTATATTCACCGCCTAGCGCGGTGAATAAGTTGCTGCACACAAATTCGAATCCCCAAGCGGCCATGTAATGCTCTGTTTATTTTATAGATACTGATGAAATTCCTACATACAACACAACTTTTTTTTTATTCATTTTCAAAACAGCAAAATAGTGCAACTCAGAAGTGGTCACCTAACGCAAAATGCCTGTCACAAAAATGTTATGAAACTCGGAGATAAAGAGGCACCAGACAGCCTACAAGACGAGACTGATTATCTTAACAACGTTTTTAGTAAGAACAATTACAACACGGACTTTGTTAGACGGAACACTCACAGTAACACTGATTCCAACACTCAGACCAACTCTGGCCCTACTATACCGTACATCAGAGGCACCTCTGAAACTATTGTACGTATATTACAACCTTGCCATATACGTGTTGCACACAAACCGATAACCACTTTACGGCGACGCTTACTAATGTCAAGGACAAAGACAAACCGGAGGACAGACAGGGAGCAGCATACAAGATCAAAAATTTAATGCTGCGACTGCCAGGCTTCTTACATTGGTGAAACCGGCAGAAACCTAAGCACGCGACTGACCGAACACAAACGAGCGACGAGGAATGGTGACGACAACAATCACATTGCTGAGCACCATTTACAGACGAAACATCAAATTGACCTGGGACTCTGCGACATGTAAAACGTATTCTACAGACTACTATCAACGTCTTACTTTAGAAAGCTGGTTTACTAACTTAGAGCCAACGCCACTGAATCGTAGCCAACAGTTACCAGCGCCGTACAAACGTCCTCTTGACGAGATCAAGCAAAACTAGGGAACTTAAGAACCACGACAAAGTTCACGACGGCGACGTCTGTTGACTGGGAAAGGACTGGAACGAGAACGTCAGTTTCGGCGGGACAAAGGAACTTTAAGATGCAGTCGATCGGTTGGTCGACGCCGACGACACTGAATGTAAACAAACATGTAGAAGTAGTACAACTGTGATGTTCATTGGCAACAAAGTTTTTTCGCAAAGGCTTCTTTTAAGACAATGCAAGATCTTATTTTATAAGCGGTACGTCTACTTTCATTGACGATGAAGAATTTTTAGTGTTGTCTGACCTTTTCGAATGGAAAGATCTCTGCTTTCCGTACGAAGGTTATTCAACTTTCAACCTGAATGACACGGACCGAGTCCGAGTGTCTGTCAGAGTTAAGATTTGGAAAAAGAGACATTCCGATGCGATAGCTGTTTTCCATATAAAGTTCACTTCCTCTATATTAAAGATACATGATTTGCCTGACTTAAATACGGACAAATAAATTTGTCACTTACGAGTTCGCTCGCTCGGCCTGCACAGCTCAGTGTTGTCTTCGAAGTAAACACAATTCATCAGTCAAATTTTCAATCAACATCGCTTGTTAGGAGAAAAAAGGAAAGGATACCTGGATTTACGAGATGAAAAAATACAAAGCCCTTGAAATTTCGCTTAAAAGCAGGGAGTTATACCTGCCGAAGCTTGTGGATTGCAGGACGACGTGATTCTACAGTGTTTGGCGTCGTCGACCACACCACGACGACGAAATTTGTTAACCGCGCTTGCGCAGTGCACGGTATCTCACTTCCGGTCGTCGTCGACTAAGTCGTCGTCGTGGTTCTTAAGTTCCCTATTAAATACTAGAGAACGACTGGAGAACTGACAATTTGACTAACAATAGACGACTGTTTGACTGTGACAGTAGACGGATCGAAACGCACCAATTACTGATTACGAGTCTTCATAGCCAATAACATCACGGCTTAACTGACGGACGACCAATAACATCGCGACGTAATTGACCAATCAGATCAACAACCAGAGTATAACACCATCAACTGACGTGATACAACTTACTTTGACTCTGAAGATGACTACCGCACAGGTTGTTGAAACGTCAGTCACTGTCAACAACAACAGTCCTATTCAGGACTACGTTCACCCGGACGATCAGACTCAACCTGCTTTTGAAATGACTCCTGGGTTCAAACCTTTCACAAAGATATATGATTTGCCTTACCTAAATACGTACACTGAATAAATTTGTCACTTACCAGTTCGCTCGCTCGGCCTCCACAGCTGTTGCCATTGTTCGAAGTAAAAACAATTATTTTCGTTAGTCGAATTTTCAATCCACATCGCTTGTTAGGAGAAAAAAGGAACGATACCTGGATTTACGAGGATAAGAAAATGCAGAGGACTTCAAAAATCGCTTAAAACAGTGGATTTATACCTGCCGAAGCTTGTGGATTGCAGGACGACGTGATTCTACTTTGTTTGGCATCGTCGACGACACCTCGACGACGAAATTTACTGGTCGCGCTTGCGCAGTACACTGTAACTTACTTCCGGTCGTTGTCGACAAAGTCGTCGTGGTGGTTCTTAAGTTCCCTAATGACAAGCCAAAGTTCGTCGCTTTCTTGGTATTTGTTTGTACGACTGCTTCATTTATTGCTCAAAGTTCGTCTTTCAAAAGTGTCTCGAACCGAGACGCCATCTTGGCTCTGGTCGCAAAACAGTGAATAGCCAAGGATATTCCGAGTTACGGGAGCCAATCAAAAACGCGCGAAAATTGCTATTCCCTGATTTGGTTAATACTAAAACGTCATAGTCCGAGATAACGAACCAATCAGACTGCTTGAATCACCAAGATCACTGAGTGTGTATATACTAACGACAGTTAACAACTAAAAGCCGTTGTCTTGAGATCAGGTCAAACATCCACCCTCTTTGATGGACTTAACTCATTAAAATGACAATTTCATTATTATTCTTGGTCATTATTGACTCTTGAAACTAGAAACAAAATGGGAAATTCAGTAATATTGCGAAATAATATTTATCCGTTTTTGTCTTGCTTAAATCCCTGGGCTAATTCTTTACTAGTCAGCGATGATCAACCAGAGAACCCACGATCCTGGAAAACCATCTGTCCGCCATGTAACGTTTCACGTAACGTGTCTGTCCGTCTCTGTTGTTGATTTGAATTCTCATGAAATTTTGCTGTTTCTTACATATCTTTTAAGCTCTGGGACCACTGTAATTGGCTTACCGCTGTTGTGGTACCCATGCCTATTAAGCATTTATTATTCATTGTTCAGTAATAGGCGAAGCTAATAACACAAAATAAAATAAATCAAAATAAATTTGAATTTTTTTTACCGATATCAATACAGTTGACGTCAATTGTACTGATATCGACAGAAAAAGGAACAGAAGTTCAACTGTTTTGGCAGGCAGAGCTGTAGAAAATGGCGGACTATTTCACACGTTATTCGAAGACGAAATAGCCGAACTACTCAACAAAAATAGAGCAATAGGCAAGGCACCACTGCACGAATGATGACGATGATGATGATGATGATGATGATGATGATGATGATGATGATGAGGATGATATGATAAAGAAGAAACAGAGGAATATCGATACTCTTTTTTGGCCTCGGCGATTTGGCCTCGACCTGCATAATTCTGGGATAATTCTTTACATTATACTCAGCCTCATTTAATAATTCGTAATTTCCGCGGTTGACGTCGTGCAAGACAGCTGGGCGCGGCAGATTAGCTACTTTCGCACTGGCACAAGTACAGAACTTGAGAAAGAAGCGAAAGAAATCAAGGTCACGCAAAAACAAAACTACAACTGAATTTCATTTCATTAAATATTAGTATAGGTAACAGCATGATTTGTAGT